CTCTGTTTTCCTGGGCGATGATGACGATGCAGGGCGAGGATGAGGATGAGGATGGGGATGGGGATGGGGATGGGGATGGGGATGAAGATGAGGAGGGAGGTCAGGATGAGGATGAGAATGGGGGTCAGGATGAGGATAGGGGTCAGGATGAGGATGAAGAGGGGGATGAGGATGAGTACGAGGATGAGGATGAGAATGAGGATGGGGATGAAGATGAGGAGGGAGGTCAGGATGAGGATGAAACTGGGGGTCAGGATGAGGATGAGGACGGGGACGAAGACAAAAATGAGGATGAGGATGAGGACGAGGACGAGGACGAGGACGAGGACGAGGATGAGGATGAGGATGAGGATGAGGATGAGGATGAGGATGAGGATGATGAGGATGGGAATGGGGATGGGGATGGGAATGGGGATGGGGATGAGGATGAGGAGGGAGGTCAGGATGAGGATGAGAATGGGGGTCAGGATGAGGATAGGGGTCAGGATGAAGATGAGGAGGGAGATGAGGACGAGGGCGAGGACGAGGATGAGAATAGGGGTGAGGATGAGGATGAGAATGAGGATGAGGATGAGGATGAGTATGAGGATGAGGATGAGGATGAGTATGGGGGTCAGGATGAGGATAGGGGTCAGGATGAGGATAAGGATGGGGATGGGGATGACGATGACAATAACAATGACAATGATGATGTGAATGATGATGAGAATGAGGAGGGGGATGACGATGAAGATGATGAGGATGAGGAGGAGGATGAGGATGAGGATGATGATGAGTACGAGGCTGTCCTGCCAGCATGATCCCCCTCACCTCCACGCCCCCCATCCCTCCCTCTCAGTGCCCACCACCGACACGTGTGACCTGGTGTGCCTGAACGGCGGCAGCTGCTTCCTCAACGCCCGCAAGCAGGCCAAATGCCGCTGCCAACCCCGCTACAACGGTGACAAATGCCAGATCGACCAGTGCTGGGACTACTGCCAGAACGGGGGCACCTGCGCCGCCTCGCCCTCAGGTGGGTCACGCCTGGTGCCGGACAGACGGACAGATGATGGACAGATGGACGCCGAGCTAACAAGATTTTAACCCTAGGAATGCCGACGTGCCGCTGCCCCACCGGATTCACCGGGCCCCGTTGCAACCAGCAGGTGTGCACGGATTATTGCCAGCACAACGGCAGCTGCACCGTCAACCAGGGCAACCAGCCCACCTGCCGCTGCTTGCCCACCTTCATCGGGGACCGCTGCCAGTACCGTGAGTGCCCCCGCGGGCTGGGGATGGCAACGGGGGCGTCGTGGCACTCACCTTGGGGACAGCAACGGGGCCACCAGGAGGATGGGTGTCCCCCAGCTGGGGATGTCTGGGGATGGCAGTAGGGATCAGAAGGATTGGTGTCCCCCACTAATCCTGGGGATGCTTGGGGACAACAATGGGGACATCGGGAGGATGGGTGTCACCCAGCTTGGGATGCCTGGGAACAGCAACGGGGACATCGGGAGGATGGGTGTCCATCATTTGGGGATGTTTGGGGACAATAGCAGGGGGTCAGAAGGATGGGTGTTCCCCAGCTTGGGATGTCTGGGGATGGCAGTAGGGATCAGAAGGATTGGTGTCCCCCACTAATCCTGGGGATGCTTGGGGACAACAGTGGGGACATCGGGAGGATGGGTGTCACTCAGCTGGAGATATCTGGGGTTGGCAGTGGGGATCAGGAGGATGGGTGTCA